TTTAGATACAAATCTACTAATTTTTTACTTTTTACTTTTTTTACTTTAAAGCGTTTAAAAAAAAATAAAAATACGTTTTACTAAATAAAGATCAACTAGAATTGTAACTAAAATGGATGATTATTAATAGTTTCACAAATAATTAATTTCAAATGGACAAACGATCAGATACCAACAGTTTGTAAAGCTAAAAATAACACTTAAAAAAATTTGTTTTTCAGAGAATGAATTAAGAAATAAATTATCCTTTATAGAGTGACGAAAAAAAAGTACTATCGCATATTCATATGAAAATTTTTTTTTTGTTATACTATTTGTCCAGAGTCACAATCTCGTTAAGGTAAAAAAAAAGTGTTTAGTTTGGAAAATAATATCAGAATAATACGAAACATCTTAAAACACACACGTAAATTATACTTTTTTATATTTTTTTTTATGCGTCGTCTGGTTTCTTCAGAATGTCTATCATTATGTTGAAATTTAAGTTATTGTGTATGAATTAAAATCCATGATAAAATAAGACCTTGTGAATCTGCAGTTAAGATATCAAGGCAACTTAATCACCAAATTTTTTTTTAAAATCATTTGAAATCTTACTTAGGTTTTTTGGAGCCTTTTGAATTAGATCCCAGAAGCTGTTGCTGTTTTGGCTAATTCTGTGCCTTATGTGATAAAAACTGAAATAAAACAGTTTAAGAAATTCTTTTTCTAACGCTATATTGAAATTAAAATAAAAAAAAAAAAACAAAATGAAAAAAGTTTTAAGTCCAAGTAATTTGTTAATCTTATTTAGAAGATAAAATGGTAAAAAGCTTATTTCTTTAGTTACCTTCTCTTTGCAAGTTTTTTTGTTTATGCATTGTGGATAAGACATAATATGTAACACTACTTGTAATTTGTCTTATACATATTTAATACATCTTAATTTTATGTTAACCCTTTCTAGTGCCTCCATTTAATATTGCACCTTCGTAATAAGCTTCCTAAGGAAAAAAAGCACGTTTTTAGTTAAAACTTTCTTTTCGTCGTAATTTGTTTCAATTCAAGGTAAACAAAAATATATCAAAGATTTGTAAAATTACATTTTCATCTGAAAACCTTCAGTCAATTATAAAAATTAATAAATAAATCAACCTTTGACGGGAATTATATGATGGTTTTATAAATGTTTAGGTCATTTTGATCCAAATGCAAGTATTTAATTTGAAAATAATTCTTGCATTGTATTCACTTATAAAATAAATTCGTAGTTGAACATTTAATGTAGAAAAAAACCTTCTTTTTTTGTTAAAAATTTAAAAACTTTTTTAAGGACACGTACAAGCCAAAGTGTTGAAAAAGACATCATCTGGCTTTTGAAATAAGATATATATACTAATTTATTAGAGGTGTTTGTACATAAATTTAACATAATAAAACTAAATGAGAGAAGGAACGTGAAAAATATGCCTCTTCGTATCTTTATAAGGCTCGGTAAGGCAACATGTAACAATAAACCGCCTCAATAGCGGGATCTTCGAACAATTTCTATCATACCATAACTAAGAAAAAATTAAAGTGCTGTGTTTATAAGGATCATGTCAATACAAAGGAAAACGTAATCTTGATACTTAGATAAAATTTAATATTAACATAAAAATTCCAGCGCACTAGGAACTATGTACTCACCAATAAATCAAAATTAAATTAACATTTATTAGTGCAAATGAAGTATTTAACATAATAGTAAATCATTATTCGTATGTATAAAGTCTACTTATATGCTTCCTTAGCAGCAAAAAAAAAGATGTATACATGTGCATATATGTACATTCATATTAGTTGGGCTCTACTTTCCTGTGGACTTCTCGCGCCAACACCCCCGAAATACATTATGACATTAGGTTTTTTTTTAATGTTTTAAATATTTTCTTTTTGGATTTTCATTACTTGACCGACTATATCATTATATTGTTTTAATGATTATTATTGTAATTAATGAATTACGTAAATTGTATCCTTACCACATTATGTATGCTGTATTCTTTAAGTAAATGTCTCAACGTATTAAATCGACTAATATAATTTCAAAATAAGCAAATATAAGTACTAGAAAAAAATTTAATTAAAAACGCGAAAAAAAATGAGAGATACCCTTGACAGCATGGCCTGAATTTGATAAAATTAATGACTTTGCAAAATTATTCAAAAATATGCACATTTCTAAAAACTACATTTTAATCAATAACTTCAAGATAGTGGAAAAATGGAACATTTGAAAATTATACCAACCACAGATAGAAGCTAGTCTCTCCTAAAAAACGAAAGCAATTTTTTTAAAGCGATTATACAATTTAAAAAAATATATTTAGTAAGCAATAAACTTTGTTAAAAGATATAAAAATACATACAAATAATAAATAAAGAGTTTAGAGATTCTGTGACAACTATGGGTTTGGTTCTACTTTTTAAATATAATTTTTTAATACAACGACTAATAAATAACACTTTTTTAATAAAATACGATTATATTATTTTTAATAGGCTACCACGACAGCCTACTGGCCTAGTGACTAGGGTCATTGACTAACCACCTATCAATGGGGGTGTATTGCCGTCAGGGAAGGAAAAATACTAGAATAACTCTGAAGAAAAATTTATG